GTTAAAGCTGATGTTAGGATCCTGTTCGTCATTTGCCTGGAGAACAGGTGAGGGAAATGTCTTTCCCACAAGGAACACACAGGTGGTGCCGCAGTACATGTTTTGGGCAGCTATTTATCATGGTGAAAAACTACTCTTCATATTCTCCAGGAAAACGTCAGTGGTGCCTCCTACAGGAATACATGGAGAAGAAATTTCTGCCATATGCTAGAGCAAGGTTTGGCAATAACTCTGTGTTCTAGAATGACAATACCACTGCCCATAGTGCATGTATTGTACAAGATTATCTCGACCAGGAGAATGTTACAAGATTGCCATGACCAGCAAAGTCTCCAGATTCTAATCCCATTGAGAGCTGTTAGGCAGAACGGAACCGGAAAAATGCTAACCATCACCCTAAACCAGCAACTGCAGCTGAGTTGCAACGCCTTTTAGTGAAACGTTGGGATAAAATAACGGTGTATTACATCAGTAACCTCATCGACAGCATGCCAAGTCGTTTAGCAGAGGTATTAGAAAACGAGGAAGGCGAACCAAGTACTGAATGTTTAATATGAACTGATTTGAGGTTACAGATTTATTGATAATAATTTGATGTTATATTTTGTCATTGTATACGTTTTGGTAAGGTTTTGTTGTAATATGTCAAATGCTGAATTACACATCTTTTTAAACTTCACTGATAACATTGTTTGCTGTTCTAAAAATCGTTCATGATGTCTGTAGAACTTCCCTCATTATACAAATTACTTATGTAGATGTTTAATATAACATGCATTTCTCGTTTTGAAAGCACTAAGTGTATTTGTATTCCATCTTAATAATAATTATTTTATTTGTTATAAATTATGCACAAATTTTGGCCAACACTTTAATATACTTAAGTTACTGAATGATCTGTATCACCATAGTTTATCATAATTGTTTTGGGACTGATCAAGTGTCATATAAAGCACTTCATGCGAAGGTAATCCAGAATACCCACAAATATATTGTTAACATTGGCACTTACAATACATATAAAATGAACAGCGTTAACTCTAAAACATATGTGGCATTTAACTCCAACACTCACATTCAATTATTCTGCTGCAAAGCAGAAACATTTCGAAATAATACAGAAAGCAAAAGACATAAACACTCGTGTTATTAAGACCGATGGAATCAAAATTGTAAAGCCCTGGAAGATATCATTCAGATTGAATAAACACTTTCCACCATTGCAGCAATATTTTCTCGTCAACTTGTCAGCTAATTCATGAAAAGGAAAAATAGTAATCAAAAGCATCTGTTCAATTCTACAGAAAAGAACCATCCAGTTTTTAAACTGTTTACCAGCACAACCATAGTTTTACATGAGAAAGGGACCCTTACTCACACCATCTTTGATGAGATGGGCAACCTTACGCTTTGTTTGCTGGAAATATGCCCAATGGAAAGTGCCATCAGCAAACGGTCTGGTTGGGAGCTTTATACAATTTATCTGACAAAAGAGAAAACTAATAGTTAAAATTACTTGTTGAAGAAGCGACTACTCTGAAGGCTAAGAGATGAAATATTTGGAATGTACAAAAGTCTCTTTCAGATAAGAGGTTTTACAAGGTTGTGATAGAGAAATTCAACATTTTATTTGGGAAGTACTATCTTAACGTTCACGCTTTGCAAAGAAAGCTGCATCATCTGTAGTGTCAACAAGTAAGTGTCTGTTCAAAAGCAAGTCCTCTCCCCAAACAAAATATATTGACAAAGTACTGGAAGAATGGGAGGAATGCCAGTTTCACTAAAATATACCTGAAAATGGTACTTGGGGTTAAATGCAATAGTTGCGAAAGATGGATCCAATGATGATAAACTTCAGAACAAAATGAGTTTCAAAGCAAGCATGCTAGGCTTGACTGTTATTAACGGAAGAATGAAATTGCGATCAGAGCCAGCAGTATCTTAGTCTTTAAAATTTGCTAGGATTGACCTTAAACCATTGGTAACAAATATGAGTAGAGGATTGTGCTTTGAAATAATTCTTGTTACTACACATATAACCAATACATCCATGTTTTAGATCAGTGGTTTAGGAAAATGTCTTTGTATATGAAAATGCGTAAAAGGAAGCCACACAAGCTGCCTTTCTCTAAAGACATAGTTTTCTACATTTGAGCATTTCATTCATACTATGTGATGTGGAAAAAATGAGGTCAGAAATAAATGCGAAATCAAAACTTGATAACTGACGCCGTGGGTACATTATTATAGTAACAGTCAATTCCCAATATTCAATCAGAGTTGACGGTAAATGCTTTTGATATCTACCTTCCCTCTAGTCTATCAGTTCAAAAATATGGACGGCTAGCGAAAATAGCCTTTGAGTAGCTTTGCACAAATATACGAAAAACAAACAATCTAACAATCTTTTATGGCAATAACTTTATGAGTTAATGATAATAAAAAAAAATTCTTGAACTCAGTCACCTCTTGTTTTTCTTTTCGAGCTCAATATTTGACACTTTTGCCTTCATGGCTATCTGTCGTATTAGCCGAAAGAATGAGACACTCTTCAAAAGCTGTAGATATTATAATTTCTGTTGTTCGTCCTCTATTGACCTTTATGAGAATGATGAAATCATTGTGCTATACCGTTTATCTGCCCCATTTGTCCCCCTTCCCCGGTGGAACAGCGGTAAGTTTAAGGACTTAAAACTCTAAAATCTGGAGTTTCATTCTCCGTCGTGGACACAGCAGGTAACCCAATGTGGCTTTGCTCTAAAACAAACAAACAAACTGCTCTAATTCGCTCAAATGTTTATATATTTATTTTTCAAAACTTATTTTTTTAAACTTTACTGAACGTTCAATTATTTCATTTTTTCATATTTACAGTACCTTTTCTGATCTCTCCAAATTTAGTGTCTATCTTTTTCATGTTTCCTAACTGACTATTATTGCTCTGGTTCTATGGGCTTTACTATTTTATTTCTGTTTAAACGTACTCGACGCTTCTACTACCTTAAAATTGTATATTAAGATATGCATCGTATTATTACTTGTCTTCGGCCGTCTTCAATTGTGCATTTATGTCGCTACTACCTCTCATAGGCAGTGTTCCTTGAATCATTTGTTTCGTTTCTTTGCACCATCCCATAATTTTTCTTCATAAAATTGAACGGTTTAGAAAGGAGAGAGAATGTTTTTAACTCTTTTTACACCTCCTCATTTTTCCTATTTCGTTGTAGCTTGCCTCCAAACTAACCTCTTGGTGCTGTAATTGTACTTCAATATTGCTTCCCTTATACTAGGCCATTCGGTAGTTTTTCTTCCTTGTGGGTCTTCATATAAACTATAGCTTATATAAAGTTAGTCAGTAAACATTACACATTTTTAGATTCCTAGTGTCTTGACAGTTTTCTTCCAAAATGATCAGTTTAATGCACTCTGGCTTTTCATCAAGTATCAACACTACCATCTATAACCCAACCTGGCCGTTTAGCAGAGAATTATTTGCTCACAACTAATTAGAGAGCACTAAAAATTTTCTATTTTGATTAGATTCCGTTATATTTATGTTACTACCTTCACATGAATGCATAATGGCTCAAACTTCAAACAAGAGAAAAACAAGAAACCTGAAACACTGGTTTATGGAATTCTCCTTTTTTTGTACCACCAGTGAGTTACTTATAGCATGGACTGATATCAGATTGTAACTAATTTGTATGGTTGAACAGTTTATGATACAAACACGTGTATGTACATGTAAATATACAAATATTTGCAAAGAGTTAAGGAAGTATATCAAATTTATTGTAAACACACAAATATATATATATACTGTATATATATATATATAGCACTATTACGAAGCTTCATTTATAACTAAAGTTACAACAAAACTTCAAATGAATTGTACGATACAAGCTACAAAGCAACACAGTAGAAACTAAGTCAAAGATTGATCATCCCAGTGTTATTATCCACTCTCAATGTCAAAATTACCAAAGTTCTTTTTACTGGACACAATTTATATATGTATATGCTTACAATTTAACAAAAATAATTCACTGTTTTAGAATACAAAAAAAAAGTCGTTTCAGTTATTAATTCCAAACACTGTTTCGATATTTTACTTTAAGTTACAGTTTGTGCAATTAACGAAATTAGTAGCAAGTAGGTTTCCAACGTAAAAAAAAAATGACACTGAGTCAGTCATAAAACAACTTTAACCAAAAAACCGGCTGACTAGTCAAACTTGTGGAAGACATAGCTTGGCAATATTCGAGCCTCTAGTATTTTATTTTTTACTATTATATTAGTTACCACGTGTATAAATACTTTTCCAAAGGAATATGATCACGTCTGATTGTGTAGCATAGCGTTGTTGTGACCATTGTTAGTTCTATGTTTTAATAAGTTATTACTCAAATGAAATGGAAATATGTACAATTGTATAAAACACCTGTTATGTTCTAAATATAATAGTTTATATACTGAAGATATTGTAAAACGGAAATTAAAGGGACATATAGGGATAAAAGATTTTCAAGATTAGTTCGTAATGTAAAGAAGTATGAGAAATAGATGTCAGAGTGAAACCGTGACTATACGCTTTAATATTCAACACACAAAACTCTCAATCATCAAAACGTTCGTTTAAACATTTTTACAGGTATATCTATGAAGTATTGTTTGTCCCAGTAAATTGGGATGGGCTTAGGTTTCGCTTTCCACATGTCAGCAATTGGTGATAAAGATCGAAGTACAAATACATTTATGTCATGTCTAACGTTACGTTAATAGCAACATATTGGTGGTTTAGGTATTTTATAGACATAAATAATTTCATTCAGGTCTTATTATACTATAAATATCCAAATATATTTTAAAAATTACATTTAAGATAGTATTGGGATGTATTAGTACAAGCTGATTGCTTAGCCCTACAGATCATACACAAGTGTTTATGCTTGAAAGAAACAATCATAACTCCAGAATATATCTCATGTATTATATTACCCAATGCGAACAACTTTGGCTGTACCTGAAAGTTTAGGCGTGGCATTCGAAACGGATTTTGAAAGACTATGCTTGGTAGACGTAGGGAAACAACAAATGCAATCTTTCTTAAAGCAGTTTAAAGCTTTTTTGTGGGCCATTTCCATCAATTCTATGTCTCCCCAAGTTGGTGCAAATATATAGTGCCAGGAATAGTGATTAGTACTTCTAGCCCACTCCACCAGATTTCCTGTTTCGATAGTGTAATAACGATTTAACCAGTTATACCTAATCCCAGCTGACTTAGAAATGGTTCCAGTCACGTGAACATCATCTACCCAAAAGTATTTAAATTTGCCAGATTCCTTCTCTAGAGCTCCAGCCACATCAGGAGTCATGAGATAGGCCCATCCAGAACAGTAATTAATGAAATTGTTTCTTGGATACTCATCAAAAGATACATACCACTTACTGGTTGGATCTCGAACAACCGGCATATGCTCCTGTACAAAACAACCCAGGGTTTTAGCAGGCCACGCTCGAGGTCGTCCATTAAAAGCGACCTTTTTTCTGTAACCTAGAAGATGAACCAATCGATAAATCTCCACAAAGATGTCATCGTCCATTTTCATTACAAACTCCGCCTGTGTACAAAAAGTTGAGACCCATTTTAATCCCATCACGTGTTTGTAAGTCAGGTTTCTATAAGCATCTTTAAAACTTCCTTGGATAATATCACGTGATTGTTCACTTTCACGTTCAATGTCACTTTGAACGGTTTCATCAGATACTTGAGCTAACAAGAACACAAGAAGAATTCTTTTGCTGACTCCCTCTGGCGTACCCCAGGTGTGTCTTATTGTCTTTCTCAGTTCAAAATGGTTTGCGGCTGAGTGAATCAAAATAACTAGAAATACGTTATCGTAAGAGTCACAGACTCTGTTATTGATAATATAATGAAAATTCCTTAAGTCAATTAACGAATCATTTCCATAGTGCATAAAACTGTAACTACAACCTTCTGTTTCATCGGTGCATTTGACTTTTTCACGGAAGACAGGTGTACGAACTAGAAAGAACAGTGTCCATAAACAGAGGAAAGTAATAAAACAAAATAATAAAAACATATGACTAGGGGATTTCAAACGTACAAAATATGACCACATTGTGGCGACGGTGGAATCGTTCCAGAAGTTTGGGTGCCACTCAGGTTGATCAGATTAGGTTATGAAACATTACCATAATAAGAAAAGATATACGTTCTTTTCATTTGAAGACGCTAAAATGAACTTAGTCTGTAACACAGAAAAAAGGATCTACCTACCGAAACAACATGATTTTCACTTTATGAAAAAATAATAATGCTGACGAGAATAGTCTTCTAACTACTACATTATTTTAAGGGTTCAAACCCTAAAAAACACTATCTGTCGCCCTTTGTTTAAGAAATACATTCTCTAGATTAGCAGGACTAATCCCGGCAGGAAGCATCACAGTAACTAACGAACTGCTACAGTGCTACATAGACTCAATATAGGTTACCTTTAAACCACGCCTTACGTCCCACTGACTCGACATAAGTGGTGGATGCCCAAATAGAGTTGACCCATTCTCGCCTACACTAGATATTTTTCTAGGTAGCATATATTGTACCTGTACTGTAGAACTTGTTCTTCTACGACAACTAGTTGCAACCGTCTGCACAAGAAACTCAAGGCCTACGTGAGATTATTCATATATGTATATTATATGTGCATGAGTCCCATAACTAATTGCAAGTTTTAAAATTTCGCTTGGTAATAAATTTTATTACTTTCAATCTGGGCAATAGAGTTTGGTCATTTTAAAGGGGTAAAATGTGTGACCACTGCCCTGAAAATTGCCCGGGTTAAAATTGACCATTGTCCGAATATAATAAGCAACTAGTTAAGCTACACTGGATCACCGGTTTGGCCTGAGAACTTAAAACATTTATTACTGCATTATAAGAACATTGATATAAATGTGACACACATAGGAATATTGACAAAACATTTTAAAGAAGAAAACGTTCGTCATAGAATAATCTGAATATTATCACAAGTAAAATATTGCACAGAATACATGTTTTATAGTTATCAACGAGTCATTTTCTGTCTTACAACACAATAAATATTGTCATGCTACAAATATAAACGCTTTCCTGATTGATCCAACGTGCGACACTGCGAACAAGATTGTTTGTGTAACACAAAACTACACAATAAACTATCTGCACTCTAAACACCGTTGAGAATCGAACCCCAGATTTTAGTGTTGTAAGTCCATGCACTGATCGCTGACCTACCGTGAGACACGCATAAGAAATGATTACAAATTTGTAAAATACCAACAAACAAAAGGTTGATTTATTTTGAAAGTAAAATCTGTTTTCTCACGCGACGCAATTATTTAGAAATACAAGAAAAATTAGCTTATTTGTACAATTGTTCTATCAAGCATGCCTATTTTCTTATTGATAATTTTTTCAGGAATTATGCAAGTTGAAAACCAGTTATTAAACTAAATGCATGCAGATAAAATCAATTGTAATGTAATTCAAGGTTTGTAAATAATAATTACTCCTTTTAATTTACATGCAAACGATTATGTTTCCATTTCTCATATAAAACAACATTTTTGCAATTTTAAGTGAATTGGTTAAAATATTCTATCTTTCAAAACGATAAAGAAATATATTGGTAAATGAGGGATATACTCTTGATTTAACCATTTTGCTAACTTGGTCGTACAATATGCTGTTAAACTGGAAATGTCTACCCTAGGTAACAAAATTCTCAAGATGCAAAACCTCGTGCTTAGGAAACAATATGTTATTCCTCTGCTTCATGCATTAGATCAGCACTTAACAACATTGTTTCTTTAAGAACAATAATGTCGTCATAAATGGGGTTAACATCAAAATAAAACAATAAACCTGTTATCAGACTTTAATTTCTGTATTTCTTTTAAAATTTCCCAATTAATAAAAAAATGAAATATTTTAATGCTGAATAATACCACAAGTTCATGATGGTGCGAGCCATCGTTGAACGAAATGGTCTATAGAACGACTTTTTGTGTGTGCTTCAAGAACACCTCAGAAGGTTTCTGTAGTTGTTAAAAGAAGTTAAAACTATTTCACTTACTTGGATTCTGGTATTTTTAAGGACGTACTGCTGCTTGACAAAGTTCGTTGTTTAGGTGAATGTTAAAATAACTTTAATTTGTAGGAATAATTACAAACTCCAATTCATAAGCTAATATTTTCTTTGCACTAAATATATTAACCACAATAAACATTACCGTATCAGAATGGTTAATAAGTAAAGTATCCGTTTGATTTTGTCTTGTTAATATTTTTCAAGCGAATCTTGTTTTTTCCATAAAAATAAATTTTATTGCTTCAGGTTAATCCAGTTTCGTAAATGAAGAAAAAAACAATTCTTTTTGTCTTATACCAAACAAACTTCAGATATTTATATAAATTAGTGTTTTATTTTACGTTTTCGAAAGCTAGCAACTTCTTTTTTCTGAAGTTGGTAATACTCTTTATACTGATAAGCTTCAGATACGGAAATTAAAAGACAAGAACAATTTTTGTGTTGTGAATTTTAAAACCTTAAGCATATCAAATCCAATGGATTCTTATGAAATTTCAAATTAAATTATCGTCTCTTCTAATGTCCATTAGGATAATTAGTCATAAAGTTTTGAGATTTACAAACACTTCTTATTGAAAACCTTAGTAAAATAGATTTTTACCTAAAATGTCACATTATACATTATCATATTTTAAACAAATAGACACGTTTAAAAAATACTCTTATTTAAACAATCTTTAATCCATCATCTGTGTGTAATTTAAGCAACAATAGTAACTACTTTCTCTGTTCTATTTGAGTTAACCTGTAAATTCATCATTATCTCAAGAGAAATTGCAAACACAATTTAGATAAACTGGAAAAAAGTGACAATAAAAAATTCATTTTTATTCCTGAATTATCACATAAATAGTAAACCCATTATACATGGTATACTTCTAACTGAATACTATAAGTTAGTTGACATATGATAAACGTACATGTGTGTATAAATACTACTTATTTTCACATCGAAACAGTCAATAGTCAATCATATGTTTTAGGTAATATAGTATAACAAGTGGATGCTTATGTAGTTTGTAAATCCTGACTTAACTGGTTGGGGCAAACACTTACCACACGTAATGATGGAATATCATGTAACACAACAGAAGTTGGCTGGGTGTTCATCAAATATGGTCATGTATGGACAAGAAATATAGTTTTTGTGGGTGCATTGTATGGTATGTTTACTATAGCATATGTATCAGTGTTCTCAAAAATATGGAATAGTTCAGACCTGTATTCGTTGCCACACATGATTTCGAGCAAGGATACTGAATGTGACTTTGGAACAAGCTTGTAGCACAGAAGCAACTGGTATTTTTCTCTTTCTTCAGCAAATCAGTTCATAAAACCATGAGCTACAGGGTTAATATGACATGCATGGGCACTTTAAAGATCTGGATAAGCTGAAGCTGTACGCCCCTATGAACATCTCGAGAGTTGGCCGAGTCATAAAATCAAAGGTTGAGACCAATGAGTTAGATGATAGAGTAGTTTTGCAAGAAAGTTGCAAAGGTCGGATGAGGAAACCCGGTGGAGGAGCTATATGACAATTTTTATAGTCATCTGAGATTCCAAAAGAGACTTTCACATTATTATGGTGGATTTAACTGCCAGAAAAAGAGTTAATGGGTTAATCATTAACTAGAGCAATGGGAAGTGACAATGTTTGTTTTCTGAGCTATCAGTTGTTTCATGATAGGGTTTACATATTTTATCATGCGAGAACCATTCACTTATCTCACAGTTAGAACAGCTTAAGCTATTAAATACAATGCATGGAACATTATCATTTTAAATGACTAGCGATGATTGCTAGGATATTGAAAACTAAGTTGAAAAGGAGTTGTAACCCTTAATTTTTGAGCTATCAAGTAATTTTCGGTGGTTTGGTGTATGTATGATGTCTTGCAATAATCATTCACACTAGGTAATTAACTTAGTGATGGGATATTTCTGTGGAAAAGATCGCGTGTTATCTACTTGATACGTAGGCTCATAATGCTTTGAGCTCTTGAGATGGTGTTCTTGAATTTCACATGATCACATTTGGCCTATTGAATGTATCACGTTTGAATGGCTGATGGAAAGTCTGAGATAAAATTAGAGTTCCACAGTTTCTTAGGTTTTGTATAATGATGCAAATGATTTATGGCCAAACTTCTTTGGGTTTCCTGTATCATTGTCTGCTCTAACTAAAGCCAAAATGCATTTTTGATGGACTAAGGACTGTGACCATGCATTTATGTCACTAAAGTGTGGTTTATTAGAAACTCCGGCCATTCAGTCTGCTACTAAAAACCTAGACATTGTTCTTCAGCAAATCAAAGAGGCAGCTTTGAACTTGAAACCAGGAAAGCATGCATTTATGTGTAGGCAAATGGAATGCTTCAGTCACATTGTGCGAAAAGATGGAGTATTGAGATTCCAAAAAAGACCTCTACATCATCACGGTGGAATTAACTGCCAAACCAACAGCAAACACGTATCACAACTGCTTGATAAAAGCAAGCCTAAGAGTGCTTTCAGCTCCTGAGATGGTGTGCATGAATTTTTACATGATGCCATTTGGCCTGTTTAATGTGCCTGCCATATTTGAGTGGCTGATGGAAGGGCTGTGACAAACCATTCAATTACCATACAGTTAGAACAGTTGAAGTTAGTAAATATATAGCGTAGAACATTATCATTTTGCACTGACTCTTCACCAGATTTGGCCATCCTTGGATAACAAATACAGCTTTCTGTGGATGCATTGTATGTTATGCCTAACGAGGACGTGGGAATATTATAATGTTGTGGTCAATCCCACTATTTGAACAGGGTAGCCCAAGAGTTGGAAGTGGGTGGCTAGCTGTCTATCAGTTTTAAATTAGCGACAGCTAGAACAGATAGCTCATGCATAGCTTTGCGTGAAATTGAAGAAACAAACGAAAATATTCAATGTAATTATATAAACTGATTAATTAGTCTTTGAAACTAATTTAAGTCATTGTGTG